TAACAACATGGTGGTATCGGGAAACAGGATGCTATGGCTTCACTTTTCAACAGCAGAATAAGGTGGAGACGCTTCCAGCGACATTCTTTTAGGAATGTCGTCTCGGTCATTTCCAAAGTCTGGGATAAACTGGGACAAAAATATGACATTTTTAGGGTACATAGTAATAATCATGGGAAGGTGCAAAGTGGAGCAGCATCAAAAACGTACAATTCTAACCTTCGTTTTAGAAACTTTTTTTAAAAAATCTAACTTTTCTCATCAAAAACTTTATCTGTGTCCATGTATGAGGTGAATATGAAGCAGTGAATCTTAGTTTTGAGAAATATCGTGATCATTGTGAACAAGGCCTCAAATTCATAGATAAAATGTTAATTTAAACGTGTCTGGGGCCAATGAGGGGCCCCAAAATTCTTTAAGAGGGACGTTGCCCCCACCTAGCCCATTTCTGGTGACACCTCTGGAAGTGGCTGGATTTTTAGTGACTTGACTTAATTAAAACTTAGTTGGCGGCTGCAAAAGAAGCATTTGAAATGAAAACCGTTAAAAAGTGGAAGATGATCACAAGTGCTTGGTATTTTCCTTGTACTCGTACTGCTGCTGCTCTTTGTCAAAAATCACATTAGTGAAACCAGCGTCACATGACTAACAGATGGACAGACACATCCGTTGTACATTGGGGAGTGTAGCGGCGTGATCCAGATCAACAGCTGAACCCAGCTTTCCTCCTCGCTGTCTCTGTGTAAACATGCGACGAGCTGTTCTGGAAGAGGAAGAAGGGGAGGCGAGCGAGCCAGCTCAACGGAGCTGGAGTGAGGAAATCATCTCAGAAAGTGCTAATTTCTTAATCAAACTTGTAGGATGGAGCCAGTGCATGGGTGGGAGGCGAACGGGGGGAGTTGTTGTCTGTGGTGGCATGTAGCGACACCTGAAACCTGTGCTGTTGATTCATCCTTCCTCCCTCCGCCTCTTCCTCCCCCTCATCCTCCTCCTCCTCCCTGCTGCTCATCTCCTGAAAGCGGGCCAACATCCCACTCGTGAAAAAAAAGACGAAAAAAAAACTGCACTCCCTCTTTCGTCTGTCCCTTTTCTCTGTGCTAATTACTCTCTGTAACCATGGAAACGGGTAGCACTTTCTTCTTTTTCTTTGTATATGTGTGTGTGTGTGTGTTATCTTGGATGGCCCGTCGCAAACGCTGCATCGGATGGAGGAGAGATTTTCTTGCTAGGGAACAATCCTGATTTTACTTTTCAAAGTCAAAGCTTTGATTTTTTTTAATGGAACTGGACGTAGACGGCTGGTAAATAAAAAAAAAAAGAAATAAGAAACACAACCTCTTTTCTATCAGCAAACACGTTCACTTCCCCTGACTTTTGCTCTAAAAACTGGCCGTTTTTGTTCAGTATTTTGTCTTTTCTTGGCAAAATTTTGTACTGAGCCTACTGCGACTGCTTTAGGATCTTGAGAAGAACAATTTGCACTTTTCACAATAGTCTCAAAGTCTCCAAAAACACCCCAAATTTTCTAAATCTTTGCAAAGCAGTTGCAAAGAGGGTTGCCCACTACGTTTGTTCAGTGTTCAGACCCCTTTAGCAATTCCTTTGCAACAATTTAGTAACTTTTTCTGGTGATATTGGAGACTCCAATATGGTAGCACATATCGTAAAGCACTCACAGGCAGCCCAGTCCTTAGCAGTCAGGGTAGATGCTTACCACTCTGCCTCCAGGATGGCGGTGAATCACAGTCACGCTCACATGGGAAAGTACGGAAAGCTCAGAATCATCCGTTTACTCGCTTATCTGAAATTTAAAATTCAGATATTTTTCTCAGCACTAGTTCATGCTAGCAACAACAGATCTTCCATATGGACATTTTTATTCCAGAATCAAGTAAATCTGTTTTTTTTTAAATATAAATGCAGTTAATAATTGTTTTAGATTTTTTTTAGATAAACGAGAATGAGCCCTGTTCGTTATCGGCAGGTCAGAGCAGTAGAAAAATCAAGTCTGCATTGTCTCTCAAAGTCAGAATCGGTGCATTGCTCACAATGGCCGGCATTTAAAAGCGATTTTCATGACCATGGAGTTGGCATTACCAGTACAAACCAGATCTGCCCTGCTTCTGATCACATTTTAGAATTTTTTCAAGATTTGAAGTTTTATTTAGTTCACTTTCCAAGGAAATTTGCCACAAATTAGCGGAACAGTTGGATGGCCTTTCTTTGCTGAATGGGGGCCCTTCTGGGCGAGTGTGACACATTTCTAATTTTAAACCCTGGAATTGGAGAGACTGGAAGGAGTGGTAAGTAGGGACAGGGAAATGACGGTGGAAGGTCTTTATGGCAAGGCTGGGAAACCGGCAACTGGGAGCTGAGATTGTCACATTTTCCCCTCAAATGTCATCAGTCTGCACACCATCGTGAAACATGTGCAGGAAAAGGTGACGCTGGGTGTCACGTGGTGAGAGAACTCACCCCTCCCCCTTTGCTTTAACACCACATTATCTTCAATGACCCTGAGTTTTATGAATGGGCAGCATGGAGCTCTCCTATTGGCTGAGAGCAGCAGCCAATCAAAGGTGGATGAATGGACAAGTCAGACATTTTTCGAGGTCAGACTCTAGTGTGTGTGTGTGTGTGTGTGTGTTAATTACAAGCGTCTATACATAGCTGTGGAAAACACAGGCAGACAATCAGCCTGGTTAAAATTAGCAGTCAGGGCCACCTGTGTGCTTCTCACAAAGAGGCGGAAACATCAGAGCAGGCAGTGGATGGATGGACGGAGGGAGTAGCAAGGAAGGAAAAAAGGGGAAAGGAAACGGGATGGGGAGCATCGATCACTCTGCTGGTTTAACTCCTCCTTTCTTGCTCTTTTTCCTCCCTTTTTTCCCTCCCCCTTCCTCACTGTGACACAGGGAGACATTGTTAGGCAGTTGGGATTTGAGGATGGCAGGCGGGGGCGGTGGTGGTGGTGGGGGGTTGTTGGTTTGGGCCAAGTGGAGTTCACATACCACTCTCTTGGAGCACTGCCAATTTTCAGAGGTGGAATATATGGAATGTTTTCCGGCAGTGAAGCGATTAAAATCCTTCTATATGTTTGGTTTTAAAAAGTCAGAAAGCAGTATTACTCCAGCTCTAATCTGCCAGTTGCCCCCCAGCCTCAGCCCTTTCCTTCCCTCCCATTGAACATGTTGTCACTGCATTGCAAAACTCGTGTTTCCTGCCTTTGTTGTTAGACAGGAAGCCTTCGTCTTCTTAACTGACATTAAAACTGCCATCTAGTTTCCTAGAATCACCATTTCTCAACCCACACTTGGCTCGGCTCCCATCCTTGTGGGCGGCGAGTCAAAAATGTTTGAGAAATGCAGCTAAACCGTCAAGCTGAGAAAACCAAATGTACTGGCTGCTTTTAAAATTATAAACATGCATTTAAATTAAGCAACATGGGGTTGTTTTACTCCAGATCGACTCACCATTCTTATTTTTATGTTTTTCCTTTTTCTTTCAGAGCAACTAACAAGCATCGGACAACATGTGGAAGAAATCCTTCTGCATCCAACGCAAAAACCAATGATGGCCTGTCGGCCATTTTGTGTCTGGCATTGAAGACAAGGAACTGTTAAACACAACAAAATGTGCTTGTTTTTTTGAGATCCTTGACGTGTCTTTACATAGCTCAAACTGTGTATTTCATTTAAAAATGTCCATGCTAGGAGCTCTTTAAGGCTAATGTTTTAGCTAAATGCTAACATTTAGGTCATTCTTTCACTTTTTTCTTAGGGAGCCAAAATCTTATTTCACTAAAAAGCAAAAGAGTCAGAACTAATTTGTTTACCCACCTGCATTCATGATTAAATTGTCTTCATAAAGGTCAAAACAGTGTTGAACATCAAAAAAAGCCACACCTAGCTTCTCTGTGAGGCTAATTTCAAAGCTAATAGCTAACATTAGCACAACATCGCCTCCTAGAACTAGTCTTTACCCACTCAAGAGGGAGTAGCCATTTTTATCCGTTACACTAATAATCTACAATCGGAAGTCTTTTTATTGTGCTATTACCGATTTTTAGAGTTTGTTTTTCCATTATCCAACACTAATCTGACTCTTTTGTCGAACTGTTTTGGTTTACATGTTGCTTTCGCATGTTAGACTAGGGAATTTTCCATTGATATGACCAATTTCATTAACATTTAGTGTCACTTGGAGCACCCAAAAATCATTTTTCCCATTAGAATATCATCAAATTCAAAGAAAGCCTTGGACAATATAAATTAAAAACAGTCCAAGGTGCTGAACACCTTTTGTTGAGAAAATGGACCACATTCTGCGAGTCTTGAAAACCAGACCCTTACCTGGTCTAAAGCAGGAAGTGTGAAAAAGGTTTCAAGAGACCCACTTACACAATCAAGCCAGAAAAAGCGACTCCGGTAAACATTTTCACACTTGTTGGTGACAAAGGAAATTGGCTGGATTTTTGTACTACCTAGGCTGTATGCACCGTGTCGCCTGTATTTCATCAGCTTGGAACGCACCTCAGAAGTTGTTTTCCTGTTCATTATCGTCTCTGAGCTGGGCTGCAGAGCCTCCAGGTGGCCAGCGGTTGCTCAGTAGTCAGTGTAGATCCTGTGGGGCTGGCAGCAGCTACATCTGGCTACTGGGTCTCTGCTGATTACCATTCAAAAACCCTTCAGAAGATGGTTGAAGTGTATTTTTGTGCCCTTAAACTGGATGGATAAGTTCTGGACCTGGCATACAGTGTAGGATTCTGTGTGTCAGTCTACAGCTACATTGTCTGCTGGGTTTCAGGCCTGTAATCGATGTCTACCTACATTTCCTGTATGTTCCAAGACGCAAAAGTCTTGTTTAATTTGACAAGTTTGTGTTTATTGACTCATAAAACATTCTTCAAACAATAAAACAATTTTAAATGTCCGTTTTCTGTACAATGCTTGTTAAGCAATTTTATTTATATATATATAGAAAATGTACGAGGAGTCGTGTTTAAAATGACAAAAACTCCTTCAAATTTAATGGCAGGTACTCTGGAAAAAAATAACAGCATTCCATCGACAAATATCCTCAAGCAATAAATATGTATTTATAAATAGTGTAAATTTACATCGAGATTAGAAACATAAAAACAAAATCACAAATTAAACTTCCGTAAGTCTATGTGCAACCCATTTTCTTTGTGACTTGGCTAGTAATTTTTTATTTTATTTTTACATTTTTTTTTACCTAAGAAAAACAAAATTCATAAAGACAAAGGTCAAACTGAAAAAAGCCGAAAAAACAAACAGAAGAAAAATTACTCTTCACATTACAAATTTTTCTTTTGCTTTTTTTTTTTTTTGCGCTTTCCAAAGAGTCGTAAAACGACTATCTACTGTAGAAAAAGACCAGTTAGGCTAGTGCTCCTTAGGACAAAGAAGGAGAAGAACATCTGGAGGAGATCCACAAATCAAAGCCAAACATTTCATCCTGTTACCAGAATTAAAAAAAAAAAAGAGAGAAGAAAGCGACAGAAGGGTCAAGTCAGTAGTCTTTTTACGGGTGGTGTTGCCAGTTGTGACAGTTAACAAGTATCTACAAAAACATTTTATATCACGCTCGAAGAGCGCCGCTGATCCCAACCGTATGATTAAGTCCTCCTTTAATCCACATCTGAACCATTGTCTTTTTAGAGGGCGGGTGAGGAGGGGACAAAGAGAAACCAGTCCTGTTAACAAGCCAGGTGGCGCCCTCTTCTGGAAGGCCCCGGTGCTTCAAACAGGTTGCATAGACAGACACTCTCAGCCTCCAGCCGTCGCTATGGAGACCAGCCACAATGGAGGAGCGGTTGTGAAGGATGGGGGTGAGGGAGGAGACAGCATTGGCTTTCCTGAATATCAGAAATGGTCCGTTTATGTGGATGTTGAGTTTTCGTTTTAAAACCTCGACACGTTGGTGGAGATGGGGCTTCATGGCTCCAGAGGAAAAGATGAAGGTAAGAGAGGACGCTTAATGTCAAGATGAAGATGAATGAAGAGGAGGGGCCTGAGGAGGACACGTAAACGGGACAATCAGACAGATTCAGGCACACTGACGTCCGGTTGTTGAGTGGACACTTACTAATGTGAACTGGTCGTAGACCTGCATGAGGTCTTCCATCCGGTACTGTTCCAGCACCACAAAGTCGTCCAGCGTGGCGCTGCCTTTCCTGGCGCAGTCCTGGCAGTGGACCGCATACTGCTTCTTCGAGAGGTGCTCGCGGCGCACAAAGAGCAGGTTAAACACTTCCACCTGCCACACACGGAGACAGAATGTATGTTTAGTCAGCAGATGCCATGATTGTTAGCCGGAGCAGCTAAAGGTAGGGATGCACCGACACCAGCGTCTGGTATCGGCCCAAAACCATGCGTGTGTACTTGTACTCACAAAAGTCAACCAATACTACAGGACCGACAGTTTTCTCACAAACGCTTAACTCAGGTGGGCACAGTTGCCATTCGCAGCGGGTAGAACAAACAGTCATTGTGAGGAGGCGTGGCTTAGGCGTCACTGTTAAAAATTTATTTGTAATAAAGTTTTGATAAAAGTCGAGTTAACATTCAGTGACACCAAGTCTGGCTCTACGTCAGATGCAATAACAGTCGTCATTTACTAGTAAAATACACTTATGGTGTTTATAGTGTATAAAGTACACTTGTGGTGTTTATAGTGTATAAAGTACACTTGTGGTGTTTATAGTGTATAAAGTACACTTGTGGTGTTTATAGTGTATAAAGTACACTTGTGGTGTTTATAGTGTATAAAATACACTTGTAGTGTTTATAGTGTATAAAATACACTTGTAGTGTTTATAGTGTATAAAACACACTTGTAGTGTTTATAGTGTATAAAGTACACTTGAAGTGTTTATAGTGTATAAAGTACACTTGTAGTGTTTATGGTGTATAAAGTACACTTGTAGTGTTTATGGTGTATAAAGTACACTTGTAGTGTTTATGGTGTATAAAGTACACTTGTAGTGTTTATAGTGTATAAAGTACACTTGTAGTGTTTATAGTGTATAAAGTACACTTGTAGTGTTTATAGTGTATAAAGTACACTTGTAGTGTTTATAGTGTATAAAATACACTTGTAGTGTTTATGGTGTATAAAGTACACTTGTAGTGTTTATAGTGTATAAAATACACTTGTAGTGTTTATGGTGTATAAAGTACACTTGTAGTGTTTATAGTGTATAAAGTACACTTGTAGTGTTTATAGTGTATAAAGTACATTTGTAGTGTTTATAGTGTATAAAGTACACTTGTAGTGTTTATGGAGTATAAAATACACCTGTAGTCTTTATGGTGTATAAAGTACACTTGTGGTGTTTATAGTGTATAAAGTACACTTATGGTGTTTATAGTGTATAAAGTACACTTGTGGTGTTTATAGTGTATAAAATACACTTATGGTGTTTATAGTGTATTAAGTACACTTGTAGTGTATTCATCTGGCAGAATGAGCATAAATAAACCATGAGCTAATGTTATTAGTACTCCAGCTGAAAGCTCTGGGTTTAATTGAAGTCTACGAGGACAGAGCCGCGTTTCCGCTCCTTGACCTCGAGCTCTCCTCTAATCTCTGCTTGCCATCTGTTTTTAATCCCTAACCCGGGTCTAACCCTAGTCTCCAGAGACAACTCTCTGTTCGGTGTGGTACACACCCCAACACCTAACAGCATCGTGACTACCTTCCACCCTCAAACTAACTGATCGAGTCGGAGCCCCAAAGCTGACTGGAGATTTCACCGACCTCACAGATGGTGCAGTAGTGGGCCGGCTCGTCCCGGGTCCTTGGCCTCAGGACGGTTTCCTTGCCGGCTGACACCAAGGCCTCCTTCACCCACTGGCACTGCTTTAACGTCCGCAGCAGGCAGTACCTGTGACGAGAACACCCCGCCCCCATCAGAGACTCGAATCTGCTGAACATTAAGGACTTTAAACCCCCCGAGCCTCACTTGATCATCTCGAACAGCTTGTGGTCGGACACTTTAATGTTGCGCGCCATGTTCCAGGAGAGGTGCACCATGGGAACCATGGACTTGACGCTCTGGAGTTTGTTCCACTCGTAACGCTCCACAGCCAGCTTGTACTGGTGGGCTGGAGAAGCAGAAACCAGTGAGCCAAAACGCAGAGGGCAGTGCTGTTAACACAAACCCATATCCCATAATCCCCGTGTACCGGTGAGAGGTCCGACGTTCCAGGCGATGTTGTTGCACCAGCCGATGGCCTGCACCCAGTGGATGGTTCCTGTGTTGAGCCACACCAAGTCACCCGGACGCTGGATGAACCGGTAGACGGGAACGTCGGCCTCGTATAGGTCTTCCAGGTTGGGCCACCAGGAGCCCATCAGGAAGTTGATGTTGTTCCTGGAGGGAAAGGTTCACGTCAACAACGATTCAACAGAAGACCTTTCTTAAGAAGAACACCTACTTCTCACAGAAGTTGCTCATCACTCCCCAGTATGGCTCGGGCACGGCGAACCACTCGCAGTCCCCGGGACCGATGTTTATGTTGACGGCGCAGAAGTTGTTGTGCTCCTGGTGTCCGGGGATCCTGCTGCCAGGAACCTTCATGTAGAGCTGGACCGTGTTCATTCCCAGGATGGTGTGGCCAACGTGGCTGAGGAGGTTCCCGGCCGACACGACTCGCCCGAAGGCCGGGAGTTTACTGAGCTCCTGTAGCTGCTGTTTCCACCTGCAGGGGGCGCCAGAGATGTCATCGCATCAGAGTGCGAGAAAGGAAGTAAACAAAAAGGCTGCAAGGTGCAGGAAAGGATCAACGCTCACTTTCGTTCGTCTGAGACGTCGATGTTGGTTCCAAATTTGATGTGTTTTAAGGGACCTCTTTGTTTTCGCGCAGCACTAAAACACAAAAAACGAAAATTAGCATCGGGAACTTTATGAATGACGTTAGAAACTCCGAACCCTCGCAGAATACCTCTCTGCTGACATTGGCTCCGAGTCGGAGGGCTCCTTAAGTGCCTTCTTTTCATTTTCCTCCTGAATGCATGAAAAAAGATGTGTTGATCTAAAATAATTGCTGAATCATGCTAGCTCAAACCCAGGGAAAGCCTGCCACCCACCCGCAGGGACTCCTGGAAGGAGGCGGCCTGATACTGGGCATATTTGGCGATGGTGGTGTGGGCTCGGGTGCTCTCGCAGCGCCACATCTTCTTTGTGCCCGTCGGGTCCCAGTTCTCGTCCGCGGGCTGCAAAAGCTGAGTCCAGACCTCCACTGGGTGCTCCGGGTTGGCCTCTACTAAAGTCTTAGTGGAGAACAGACCCAGATCTGAGGAGACGAGACGTGGAAACAGTTTATTTACAGATTAGAACACAACAAACCAACCAAATAAATATAATAAAATGTGTTTGTACCCAGTTTGAGAGCTCCAGCCAGGCCTCTGATGACCGTGACGGGGTTGGAGGGGTTTGTGCAGAACTGGTGCAGCGGGGGAAAAAACGCATCCCTCTTGTTCTCCAGCTGTTTGTGGAAATGAGACAACGTTACAACAGGAACCTGGAGGCTCCGAGTGGGAACCAGCAGGGCCAGATCTACTCACGTAGATGCTGGGTGTGGGAGGGTTCAGCTTGTCTTTGGGCAGGGCTGGTGTGGGAGGGGGCGGCAGCCGGGGCGGGGGGCACTTATCGAGGAGGATGCTGCTGTTGGACAGCCCGTTCTTCCCCAGGTTTCTGCACAAAGAGATCAGCTTTGGGTTGGGTGGAAAACTCAAGAGCTCCTGTTCCTTTAGGGGAGATCTGCACGGCAACAAGACTAGCCAGTGGCCTTCAGTGCTGTTACATAACCACGAGTGGCTGTGTAGTTACACCGTTCGTCCACCAGGAGGAGGCAAGACACACTGCTGGAAACGTTACTGAAGCTTTGAGCTGGTTTCCACTCATCTACAGAATAATTATCCCAATCAAACAGTTCAAGTCCCACTTTTACCAAAATCCTCTCAGTAAGGAGACAATAAAGAGCAGATTGCAGGTTAAATTTTTTAGAATTAATATAAAATGATGTCCAAAAATCCTATTTGAAATACTTATTGTGGATATTTGGTTTTAAAATTCATAACAGCAGAGTTTTCTAGTAAAAAGTGGCCTTTCTCAGCAAAACTTTTAAAAAGGCTTTTTTTCTAAATCTGAACCTCTGACGTAACCAAAGGGAGTTAGAAGCTAGGCTGCCTCAGCTCAGTGTGGAGAGTGGCTAGTTTTAGGGTAGAGGTCATGTGATCCAGTCAGTGTGTGTGTGTGTTTACTAGTGGTGGATTGTGTTCATGTTGATAAACTAGAGTGTGTGAAGGCTGTACCAACTCCAGCCTGTGTGGACGAGTCCCCGGGTTTCCAGATAAGAGAAACAACGCCTCCATCTCCGTGCCTGAGGGCGTTTAGTGCAGCAGAAAAGACGGACTTCTGGAGCCCGCATCGGTCGGTACCGGGTCAGAGAGGTCCGTGCTGGGCTCCAGAGACCCGTGGCAGGGTTTAAAAAATAAAATGTGGATTTCTGGAACTCAGATCACCGTCAGAACCAGGTCAGAACCGACCACCAGAAGAGACGCGCGGCTCAGCGGGCCAGCTGGTTTCTGGGTCAGAACCGGATAAGAACCGCTGCCTGGACCACCAGGAGAGGATGTGTGGCTTAAAAATACCAGCTGGACTGGCTCGCTGGTGTCTGGGTCGGATCCAGCTCCAGAACCGGATGACAAGCGTCTCTCACCAAGCTCTAAATTACGTTACTGAAAGGATATTAACGAGTATGAGACCGCTGACAGACACTCATTAGTATTAATATTATATTAACTGACTGATTCTATTTTAACTGTCTGGTACACGATAGTAATCTGTACAAAATTGTGATGTTAGCACACGAGTTTAAGCTAACATCGATAACTCACTTGCTGTTCTCACATCGCAACACAATCTGCTTTGGCTGACGGTTTCTCCCTCTGGGTCGTCTCTGCTCTCTGGTGCAGCAAACTCATAACTTTATGGTTTTGGTCCATCAGAAGTAGAATTATCAACATTTAAAGTTTCCTCTGGGTCTGAGACGCAGTAGAGTCCATATTTTTCTCTGGATTAAGCTAACAGGACTCCCTTAGCTGACGTCACTTGGTTTTGAAAAAGAAAATTTTTTTCTCACAAAAATGACTCAAAGCCTAAATAATTTACATGTGTGTAAAAAAATGTTCAAAATGAGTTTCTATTATAAACATTGGTTCATGGGAGTCTCCAACCTGCTATTTGCTCTTCAAACACATACCTGCTAACTTAGAGTGAAAAAGGTGACAACGCTACAACAAACGTAGTTTATGATCAAGACGACATGACTTACTTTCTCTAAAAATAGATTCTTGTAAAAGCGACTGAAACCCGACAGAAGATGCCTCCCAAAAACTCTTTGGATCTACACGGATCACATGAACACCAAATTTGGCTTCAAGAACGTTGATTTTTAAAGAAAAGCGACACGTTTGCAGGTTTGTTAAACAGCAGAACCTCTGAGGACTCTCTTAGGTTTAGCATTTGCATTGGTCCAGGGCTTTTATTTTGAAGGTTTTTACGTCTCAGTCAAAAGAAATAAAATAAACTCGTAAAAGTTAGTGTGACTCAGAAATCAGGTTTGGTTGGTTCCACGTAGGTCAGATTAGAGAACAACGATTAAATGTTCCTTCAACATTTCTGGTTTTTCCATCTGGAGGATCAGGCACCTCCAGAACTCTCTCACTGCTGTCTGTTGGACGATCAAAACCTTTAAACAAAGCGCCCCATTAAGAACGCCAACTGATAACCTACCTGCAGGCCTTCAGCACGTCCGTGGAGCTGGGGTAGATGGATATTGAAGATGATGATGATGATGAAGATGAGCTCTGTCCATGTGGGGGCGTGGCTTTGAGGCCAATGGCAGCGGGTGGCTCCGCCTTCAGCGGGCTTTGAGAGTCCTCTGAGATACCTCCTTTACTGTTCCCGTTGAGGGCGGGAGCGGCAGACGTGGTGGTGTTGGTGGGGCTGTGGGCGCCGGTCTGGGTGTGTTCGGAGGATTTGGGCGACGGCGTGGCGGTGGAGATGGCGGAGATGGGCGAGGAGGCGGCTGAGCTGCCCTGAGCCTGGGGGATGGAGGGCAGGGCGGCTGGATGAATGTTGTTGACTTTCTTCTGGGCATCTGGTGGTGCGGATGCTTCCGACGGCCCCTCGCTCTTTTCCGGGCCCTTTCCCCCCGCCAGCAGGGAAGATAGCCTGGGATTGTCTGCGCTAAGGCTTGGCTTCTCGCCACCTTCCGCCACCTTGTCACCATCCCCAGAGTGGACGTGATTGGCTAGGCCGTCAGCCCGAATGCCGTCAGAAGGCGGCAGTGGCGTCTTGTCCTCGGAGCCCCCGTTCCCGATGGACGTGCCAGCGGCATCTTTGGTAGTGGACACGTCGGGTCCAGCACCACCTGAGGTAGAGGAGACGGGCAGGGTGGGCGGCGAGGGGAGGTGGTTGTGAGGCTGCTGCCGCGGTGGCGACGGGGCATTAGTGGAATGTCCAACCTGATTGTTGGGGCGAGTGGGGGTGGTGGCGGTGGTCTGAAGGTGGGAGGGGGTTCCCTCGCTGTTGGAGCTGGTCGCATGTGGAACACACTCCTTCTTAAGCCCCTGAAGAGGAATGAAATAAAATCAAACGTTAAAGACGCCAGAAACGGGAAAAACACAAAACGGTGCAGGAAAACGCCAACCTGAGAGGAGTTTAGGTGCAGGGCCTGGCGCGGCACGGCGTCCGGTGTTTGCGTGCTTGTGCAGGTGTGAGGTAGCGGTGCTGCACTGCCGGCAGCTTGCGGGTAAGGCACGTCTCCGTTGGGTCCTGTGGCCGCGGCCCCCGGCTGATTATTACTACCGTTACTACTGTTGCCCACAGAGTCCGAGTGTCCGTGAGGCCCGGAGCCCACGGGTCCGTTGGCCAGCGGCTGAGGAGGGCAAAGGTGCCGGTGGGGTCCGAGGTGGGGCCGCATAGGGTGGAGGCTGGGGGACGGGAGGGGGTTGGTGCTGGGGCCGTTGGGGAGAGAGGGGCGCATCTGACCTCCTGAGGCGTTTTGCCTCATCTGTGAGAGAAGAGAAAGTTTAAACCTTCCACTTCCTGGACTGCAACAAATTCAAGATGGCTGCCACAGCTAATGGATCTCAAGAGAAAAAAATGGACGCACAAACTTTTCCAGTAGACTTCAACTTTTCCATTTCTGCTGCAACCCTCAGCGTGACTGAGGTGTTCTCTTACCTGGTGCTGCTGCATCACGGCAAGCTGGGCCTCCAGCTGCTCCAACATCTGTGGCTGTGGGGGCTTCAGGTTGGCTCGGTTACTCCGCAGCTGCTCCAGCATCTAGTCAGGAAGCAAAGCCTTAAATGATCCGAGCTCGGCTAGGCCGTCGTCTCTAATCATGACGCGTTGCTGCAATGTGATACCGAAGAATGACCACCAACCTGTAATTTCTGTGGAGAGAGGAGCCAACTAGGTACCGGCTGCTGTGGTGGATTACTGGGCCATGAATCGCTCTGGGAAAAACAAATACTGGGAGTTAGGAGTAGACGGAGTTGTTTACAGCAGTAGCCGCTAGCTAGCTTCGTCCCCCAGCCGTACTCTCACGCACGATCAGGAAACCTCTGGATCGATGTTCTGCTTTAAACTTTACAATTGGCTTTGCTGCTTTTATTATTTGGGGACGTTTGTTCGTGTTTTAACTAGGGGTGACCCGATACAACTTCCTCAGTGCCGATATTGAAGCCTTCAGCATTGTCCGATACCGATATCAATCCGATACGATATCAGCACAAATCATACATACTTTTACCTATTTCATAGTGTGTGAAAGGCTCGATCATGATATTACTCAATCGTAGAACAAGAGCCAATAACAATAAGTATGAAAAACATGACAATTTTTTTTATACCCACTGGTTGCAAAAACGTGAACCTTTAACTTAGATTGGAGATTTTTGGTGTCGCCCGATATAATCCGATACAGTTTTTGGGCCGATATCGAATTACTTCCGATATTGATGTCGAAATAGTTTAACCAGCTTTTTTACCATGGCTGCCGAACGGAGTCTTGTTTATCCCGTCTGTGTAGAGAGACAGGCCAAACTCCTCCCCCACGTAGTCAGGAAATGGCTACGGAGAGCAGCAAGGCCAAAAAGGCCGTGAGTGTATTCCTCCGAGTAGTGGATGCGAATCCATCATGAATTTAGCTAAACATGACAGATTTTTTCTCTAGATGAGAAATAATTACTGATAATGTGGATGCTAGGATATGAGCCACCTCTAGATGGGATCTAAATTATGTTACATCATTATAAATATATAATAAACAAAGGTGCTAAAGTCGTCATTTGCATTTTTTTTTTTTTACTGTGTGGGCGTCGGAACAAGCCCCCGCACCGTGAGAACAAACATCTCAGCTCTAAAGCCGATCTCCGCATACGTCACACGATCAGGAAGCAGAAAATCCACGTGTTGTTTCGGGCTACTGCTGTAAAAAAAAAAGTGAGGCGCGAATCGGAAAAGCTTCTGCCGATCACAATTCGACAACGGATTATGGAAGAACGGATAACGCTCGAAGCACGTGGATTCTTCCTGATGCAAGAGGTGAGTCTCCGCTTTGTTTTGGTTGTTTTGGCATCGACATCATCCTAGCGCGCAACGTTCTGTGATGACTCTTAAAAAACACTGTGAAAATGCTGGAAGTTGCTGGCAGTGAATGAGTTAAATGGAAGGCAAGGTTTTAGTTTGATCGTGTTCATTGTAATACAACAAATTTGCTATATTTCTCACCTAAATTAAAACAAGTGTTCAAACATCAACCTTTCTGAAGTCTTTTATCTGATGTTCTGTGAAGGGGAATGCTTTTAAGTTGTTACGTAATAGTGACCGGTCACCAACAGACATAATTCCACTATCTAGGTGGATTTTCTATTCTATCTTCTAACACCCAGAAGATTCTGCAGTGCTTGTTGACAGTCCATGAAGACAAGATTGTCAAACTTATCTCAGAATCTTCTGGGAGTTAGAAGACAGAATAGAAAATCCACCTAGATAGTGGAACTAGTTCTGTAGATGACCGGTCACCATGCAGGTCAATATATAGGTCAAAATTGACCTTTTCTGGATGTTACAAAGTTCACGTGTTTTACCGGTAAGTAACTACTAGATTGTCTGAATTGTCCAATTAGAAAAAAATGTGATAAAATCGCGATCATGGAAAATAAACCGTGACACGATTATTTTTCATGATCGCCCACCCCTACCATGGCTTTTCACCAGATGCAAAAGCGTTGACTTAAGTCCACGAAGACACATCCCAGAAGCTTAGTGTTGCTTCACTTCACAAAATTTATGCGTCAGGTCCTTTTTCTGCGTTTTTTTTTAACACACACTACGCGTTCAGAGTGCGTCAGGCTCAAGCTTGGTCTATACTTGACGCGTCCGCGAGGTTCGCACGGCTCCGCGTGGCAAAATTGCGTCATTTTAACAACCATGCCCCTCCACCGCACGGCCCAAACTTTCCGCACCTAGGAAATTTTCTAACCACGCGGATGGTCGGGCGTGGAAAAACATGGCGGATTGGCAAGAACTAGTATGGCAGAGGTTCGTAAATACAGACATTTGTACGATTCAGCTCTCAGAGATCACCGTGATCAACATGTTGTTAATAATTCTTGGAAAGAAATACCTCGCACTGTCGGAAAAGACGAGGACGCCGTTAAAAATGCTGGAATGCCATGTTGCAAACAACAGTAATTTTTACTTCTACTATGGTGTAGTGTTGGATGCATGCCGTAGAGCTCCATGCTGCCCCCTACAGTTTGGGAGAATATTGGCTCATCGCAGAGACGAGCCGCATGAACCATAAATGCTGCGAGTTGTGAAGCGCGTTCCAGCCGCGAGCCGCATCACCAAGCCTAAGAAGTTCCGATCAGGCAAGACAGAAAGTCAAGCACACGAGCATGTAAAACATCTGGCAACAGATTTTCAGTTTCTTAACTTGCAGGAAAATAAGTAATAACTGGTGAAACCTTCTCGGGAGAGGCAAACAGAACGGAAAAGAAACCACAAATTTTTTGGCTCATTGCTTGTTCATGGCAAAATCGTGCATGACCTTGGAATTCTCTGGTGATTTCGTGACCTCGTGGGACCATCTACGTGAAGTCTGAACTGTTCCAGGTGATAAGGGACAAGCCGCCGAACTCTAAGGGAAAATGCGTTTTTTACGTTACACCCATTGGAACGCCCGGGTCAGCGTGTAAAACGTGCTGCTTTGGTGAGATTTTTTTTGTGATAAAAAAAACATTCAGGTGCCTCAGAAAACTTCATATTCTTACCACAAGCTCGCATCCATCTGTAATAGCTTCTAAGGGTTTGATGCTATGATGTCATGTTTCTAAAGGTTACTATACTGAAGCTCCACTTGACGAAATTTGTGAATTGACCTGAAATCCCAATTACTGCCTGAAAAATAGCCGTCAGCTGACTTTCTAAAATTCGTCAGCCCTATTTACCGGTTTGATCCCAATCGGCCATTCCTTCCGACAACATCTGGAACGCCGTTCTTTGAGAGTCCCCAATTTCATATGAAGTTGCAACTAGGGTTGTCACGGTAACCGGTATAGCGGTAAACCCCGGTAAAAAAGTTGACAATAAAAATAACCGTCCAGTTTTTAATAAACTAAATTATCTCGGTGGGTTTACCGTGGCCGCGGTTTCGGCGCGATGACCCTTACCAGCCACCGTCGCTTCAGCTGAAGTTCCCGCGGCGCGCACACGCACTTTTTAGTTTGCAATGGCACCAAAACTTTGAAGCTGAAATAATGGCCGAAGGAGGAGACGGCAGCGCCCAGGACATCCATCAGCCCTCAAAGAAGACTAAATCGGAAGTATGGGCATATTTGGGATTTCTGAAAAATGCTGAGGGACAGTTAATAGAAGACGGCTATCCCGTTTGCAGAACGTGCAGGAAACAAGTGTCTGCAAAAGGCAGCAACACTTGGAATCTAATGGCACATCTGCGTGACCATCACCCACGTCTCTACAGCCAGTGCAAGGTAAGTTAACATTAACATTTTAGCTTAAATGCATGACGTGAGGACTTTTGGTTGAGGGAGAATGCAACGAGTCACTATATACTGCAGCCGCAGCGTCCTCTGCCAGCATTTAAACCGTGTCACGGACACCCTGTTGCTGGATGAAGCATCTTATTTGTTGATGATGAAGAGAAATATACAATTAGTTCCTTGTCATTGATTTGTTTACTTATTCAATGCCATTTATACTTGAACATTTGGATTTGATTACATAGTGTAGTAGTTATTTTAGTAATTTGTTTAAAGTGGCTATTTATTTTAAATACATATTTTTTAAGGTTGACTTGTACAGTGCTCAAGTCAAGTGTGGACTGGAGTTTTAGATTTTCATTTTGATAATGAAGAAAACAAGTATATGAGAAAACAAGTGGTGTTTCTTTGATTTGTTTACATATTGTTTATGTTTTGAATGTTTGGATTTGTATAATTTAAACCTGCACTGACTACTGTAACATGTTCCAGAAAAAGAAGCTATTTGTTCCTTTACTTGTGAAAAGTTGCACTTTTGCTAAGGCTTTGTGTTATTTTAGGTTTAATAAACACTGTTAAACCTTTTCAAAACTATTTCAGTTTGTGTAGAACAGGACTACCAATGCTTTCTGAACATATGCAACACCGTTTTAAAAATACCGCGATAATACCGAAAACCGTGATAATTTTGGTCACAATAACCGTGAGGTTAAATTTTCATACCGTGACAACCCTAGTTGCAACTTTCTGGGAACACTTAGGACTTTTGACCACTGACGCGAGAAATTAGTCAAGAGTTCTAGAACTAATGTCCCGGTGTCAGAAATTTCACATTAAAAGCTGATATTGGTTTACCTCAAGGATCTGCAAGCTGTGGCTCTGGAGCAACAAGTGGCTTTTTGGACCTTCGACTATAGCCTGATACGTTTAGCAAAATTTATTAAAAGAGAGAGAAAATGTTATGTCATGTTATTTAAATTGGAAGTTTAAACAGCTTTTTTGGTTTTTTGTGGAATAATAGCATTGAAAATGTATGCACTATATATATATATATATATATATATATATATTTATGGTAATTTTACATAGATGATCCTCATCCTATACTCCATTTGCAAAATGGTGTCCTTTAAACAACAAGCGATCTCTAGATATTTACAGAGAAGGAGTCAAAACGATTTGACTTTTTACGAAAAATTCTTGCGTTTTCGTCAGGATTCCCAAAATAATGAAAACATTTTTTTAAAATATTTTTTTTCGGTGGCAATGTAGATATGAATCAAATATTATAAACTGTCTCTTTTCAAAAGGTCTTGTAACAGTCCCGGCTCTAAACGGGTTACATTCTGGTTCTGGTGGACTGAGGGGAAAATGGCTCTTTGGACCATAAAGCATGCAGACCCCTGGTTTAGCCCTACTCAGTGTGTGTGTGTGTGTGTGTGTGTGTGTGTGTTTACCTTGGCAGGACTGGCAGCTCTCCTCCTCTTGGCCGGGCAGGACTGATCTTCGGCTTGGCCCAGTGCTCCTACATGAGGGGGTAGGGTTTGACCCGAGCCCCCACCTTCCGCACTATGGTTGGGCTTACAGGCCTGGAAAGGAAGAAATGGGGAGGGGAGGGGGAGGGGTAGCAGGAAAAGGGGGAAGCAAAACAAAACAAAGCAAAAAAAAAAAAAAAAAAAAAAGAGACGTGAGTGGAGCCAGGAGGAACGAGAAAAACGAAATGAAGAATAAAAGCGACAAAGTGATTAATTATCGAGATGAGAAAAGGAGGAAAAAAAGGTGGTGAGAAGACAGAGGGATGAAGAATATGGAAATGGAGGGGTGGGGTGGGAGGAAGAAGAACATTGCTGTGATTTTGAGCTATAAGGACACGCAGAGCAAAACACTCCCCCTTTAGAGGAGGGATGACATCACAGCCCAGCAGCAGGGCTCTAGTCCTGGGTGGGAGCGAACCGCAGCAGCAGCCGCTCAGGCGGGCTGCTGTCGCTGCCTTTAGCTCAGACGTCTAAAAGCTGCTGTGACTCTCGACCTCAGAAGCACAAAATAAAAGACTGTAAAGAAGCTGTGAGTCGGATGTGACCAGTTAAAAAAACAATAACAATAAAAAAGGAATTTGGAAAAATGGATGCTCCGGTCACATCTGACCCACTGAAGTCGGATCAGAAACACAGAAATGACTCAGAATCTGCTAGTGCTCAGGATCAGTAACAACAATCATCACACACTAGCTAGTGACATCTACGGAGCTATATGATGGAGGAGAGGGGGAGGAGGAGGAAGGGAGGTGTTGCTGGGGCTCGGAGAGCGGCTGCAGGTGAATCTAAGGTCAGCTACGGGGGGGGGGGGGGGGGGGGGGGGGGGGGGCGGCTCCACAGCAGCAGCAGGACAGGCTCACCAGTCACGCTGGACAAAAGCCAAAACACGTTTGGGAATGTTTCAGAAATCCTAAATGACGGATTTCCAAGGAGGGAATGAATTTAAAGTTGTTAGATGGAAGCGTGATGGGTGAAGCTGAGCAACTGCTGCGGGGGGTGTGGGGGGGTGGTTGGGTACCACTCGGCTGCAACGGTAAAAAATAAAAAAAAACTAATTTCAGCTTCTTCAGGTCCAGATCAGGCAGCGCCGAGCTCGAGTGTTACCCACGTGTCTGTGCGTGTGTGTTTACAGTGTGTGTCAGCGGGTTAACTCAGACACAGGAAGGGAAAGGGAGGGGGGGGGGGGGGAGGAGGAGGGAGGGGAGGTGCAAAGTTTCTCTCTCTGGTCTCTCACCTGCTGTGGTGCACTGCTCAGGCCTCCCTGCCTGGAGGTTAGCTCAGCTGGGATTGGTAGACTCCAGGCCTCCTCAATAAGAGGGAGCATTTTACTTTTACCCTGTAGGCTACTGAGCTGGGGGTTACTCAACTGAGCCTAGGGGAATGGAGAACGACGTGAAAAAATAAAAAAATAAACCAAGGACAAAGCTGTTTAAATGAAAGTAGATAAATAAAACTGATGACCTCACAGCAAGGAAATGATCAGCAATGGCAAATATAGGAAGAGGTTAACACAAGTGAGGTCGTTCCTATCCACCAAACCGCACCAGGAAGTACACTCGGCAACAGGCGCCATTAAAACAAGCCGCCGCCGCCGCGCTTGTCTTAATGCCATGAGGTTATGCTAACGGACGTGGTGGAAATGTGGCATTCCTTCATGCACATGTGAGGGGATGACACTACTGAGACACATGGGTAACTTAACATGAGACGTGGGGACCGTTCGAACCCCCCGGTCACAACCTCTTCGTCTTAAATGGATCATTGTGGTCACGTTAAAGGTGGCTTCAGAGTCTGCCCTACAGATTCCTCTCTATCCGATATCTGAACGATGTTCCCTTTTCTTTTAATCTCTTATTTTATTTACTTGTCCTGTCGACAGATGTGCTTTTGTTTATGTTTGTGTTTATGTGTTTAGCAGACACTTTTGTCCAAAGCGACTTACAAGTGATAATCGGCATGTTGCCCTTGAGGCTAACAACAACAATAACAACAACTTGACATCAGTCATGGAGAGGAGGGAACAAAGGAGTGGACGGTAGAGGGGGGACGGGTGCAGGGAGGGTGCTAGTTTAGAAGGTGCTCTCTGAAGAGCAGGGTCTTCAGGAGTTTCTTGAAAATTGAAAAGGAAGCCACAGTTCTGGTCGTGCTTGGAAGGTCATTCCACATTTGTGGAACGATGCATGAGAAGAGTCTGGATTGTCCTGAGCGTGGTGTAGGCACTGCTAGCCGACGATCCTGTGATGACCGGAGCGGCCGGGCCGAGACGTAAGCCTTTGCAAGAGGATTCACGTAGATCTCGGACTTTGTATGCTAGTGTTAGCTATTTGAATTTGATGCGTGCTGTTAGCGCTAGCCAGTGGAGCTCAATGAACGGAGGGGTGACGTGTGCTCTTTTTGGCTGATTTATTTTCTTCTTATTTTTAACTCACATTTGTAATCATTCATTCGTTTATGACATTTTATAATTGTAGGACTTTATTTTTTCTGATGTTTGAGATCGTTATGATGTTACGGCTTTGTTTTATTTAGTTTTGATCCACGTGAAACACTCGGTGGTCCTGTGTGATAATAAGTGCTGTATAAATAAAACGTACTTATTACTAACATCTTGTTTTATAAACGCCGTGTTAAACAGGTTTAGTTATGATTCTTTTAGTCATCACTGGTCGTTAAAGACGGCCGTGAACCGGAGCATCCAGGATTCATAAACGCCAGCTGAAAAAAAAATAAAATAAACATGGCGGCATTTATAAACATTACAAACCCTGACTTTAGAGACTGAGAAGCCGGCTCAAAGCTGCGTTCTGACCCACTTCAACAACGTTATTGGTACTTGTTTCATGTTGCTGGGGAGTTTGGTCTTAAAGCTTCTGGTCTCAAACTGGTTTCAGTGGTTCATGAACCATAAACTTGTGTAACTTCACCTTGGACTGCACTCCGAGGTAAAGAAACGGCACCCAACAGTTTTGTGGTTCAGGTAGGAACACTAGTCTCCGCCACCTTTAAGGCAAGAACCGCTTACCCTGCCGATAGCTAATATGAAGGCTAGCGGTTCGCTTTTTCGGTTTGACGACCGTTAATAAAAAGCACAAGAAGAAGAAAAAGAGTTATGCTGATTTTTTGCATTCATGGTAAAGCCTGGATGCAAAAGTAAGAGTAATGTCTGAGAGGGAACCTCGGTGCAGCCTACACTTGCCTGAAGGAGCTAAAGGAGGCTACAAAATCACGGGCCGATGGTGACCTGGCTTTGTTGCTACTGGAATTATGAGTAATACCATTTTTGACCAACAGTGCAGATCCTTTTACTTCGTGGCCCGTTTAGTAGCAGTTGGCTCATGTTGGTGTTAGCTCGTTAGCACTAGCCACAGCATTATACGGCAGGGTTGTTTACAACGGTTGTAATTCCACTTTCAGCCAGTAGGAGAGACAAGTGGGAAACTTCAGTGTTACATTAAATTAATCAGATTTTAAACATCCAGCTGATGTAAAATCATCAACTCCAAATTAAGAGATAAGGAGCTTTAGCCCAGCACACACTATATCCCTTCCAGGGTGTGTTTTCATTCCTCGATAGACCGAGGAAGTGGGTTTGAGGCTGGATTTGGTCGTGAGAGTGCTCACAGACCTCTAAATCACCATTAAGTTCACCGTTACATCATGATTTTTTTCACAACAAATTTTTAATTTGCCCAAAATCATTAAACGTAACGAGTAAACCAGACGTTAGCGTTGCCATCTAAACCTTCTTCCAGATCCATGAGATCTAATGCAAATCCACAACTGACTACTCTTTGAGGACCATGTACAATTTCAACATAAATGTCGCCATCTGATGCATCACACCAGAGTTAGCCGCTGGCTAATGGTTTATTATTTATACAAGAAACACACCAATGACCAAATGATCCATTTAAGTCATTTTAACTTCAACAATTGATAAAGTTTTAATCTAAACCCTTCGATCTGTGTGGCTAACCCAGTTCACACGCCTTTGAAAACACGTTAAACTAGTAAACGTGCATCTGAGCTAGATAAGCTATCAGGTCTGAGAAATACTGATCATTTTTCTGCCTTTTCTTGGTTTTAAACACCTAAAACAGAATATTTACGGTCTTTAAAACATCTCTGCACTACTCTATCTGAATCTGAACTGGATAAATACGAAGCATGGAGTCACAGAGGGTCAAAGCAGCAGCTGGAACCCAACAGAAGGCAGTGAATCCCTAACAAACGTGTTTTTGTGCTTTCCTTCCCGTGTAAAACAAGAGGATGTGAGTTCTTCCTGGTTCGCTACAGCTGCTAAGGCTAAAGAGCAGAATGGTGCTGATTGTATATTGGCTGGGTAAGGGTTAGGGTTTAGCACCCACATTAATTTACACAAACCAGTTTCCAGTTAGTAAACCCCGCAGTGACACAAGCAGCAGCCACAAACATCTGGTCTGAGTCCACCAGCTGACCTTTGCCCTACATCTACTCCTACACTTCCTGTTTCACTCACCTGCAGACACTTGATGCGGTGTGTGAGTGCGGCGGTGTTGGTGCAGCCTTTGCTGCGGGTGGCGTTGATGTAGCACTTGATGGCGTCGTGCGGCTGGTTGCACGACTCGTACAGCGTGCCCAGATCCATCCAGGCGGCGGCGTGACTGTGGTCCAGCTGCACGGCGCAGATGTAGGCCTGCAGGGCGTCCATGGGCTGGTTCTGCTGCTGGTACAACACTCTGGAGGTCAGAAAAAGACAAATGTGAGATTCATTTTTATTTTGAAGGTGCGAGAAAACATTTTATAAAATGAACAAAAACGGAGCTGAACATTTACCCTATGGAACACCACGTATCCGCACTGGCCTCTGATTTGTCGATGGACTGTCGATAGGAGATGAAGGCATCCTGGACCTTGCCAATACTAGCGTAGCACCTGTGGGAGACGTGGAACGTGTTCAGCAAAACACCGTCAACATCAGGTAAGTGTTCTCAAGACGGTCGAAAGCTTTTATAAAAGCCTCTGTGTACTAAAATCTTAACCAACAAGACCAGTTATTCTACATCAAACTGGGGCAGAACTCGGAGAATAATTTTTGTTTAGGAGAAAAACAAAAGATGTTCTGATGTTCAAAAGTTTTAAATCTTAAAGAATAAAGTTAAATTTTGTGATTAAACGAAACATTTACAAAAATATTGTCTTAATCGTTTTATTTTGAATCAGGGAAAAAACTAATTTGTAAAAAGTTTTATAATATAAACATTTTAAGTAAAAAAATAAATTAATAAAAAACATTGTTGAAACACAAATCTGAAAAAAAATAAATAAATAAAAATAAAAAACTTCTTAAGTATCTGAGGGTAGGGCATGAGAACTCCATGGGTTAAAAAACATTTATAAAAAAATCAAAATTTTCTGGGAAAAAGTCTGAATTCTGAGTCACAAATCTGAAAAAAATAAATAAATTCTGAGAAAAATCTGAAATTTGAGACAAAAAATAAAAATAAACTGAATGAATGAATAAATAAATAAAAGCTGAATTATGACAACAACAAAAAAGTCAGAATTCCACGAAAATAAGTCAGGAACCGGAGATTGAAGTCAGGATTTTTTCCCTCTGTTCAGTGGCCTCATTTTTTACCGTACACTTTTTTGTTTCATCAAATAAAAATTTTCATCTTGAATTCTGATTCTTTAAATGTCCAATTTTTCAGTATAAAGTACTTCAGCGGAATAAATCTGGACATCTGAAAAAGAAAAACTTAAATCTGAAGGGAAATGGAGCTCCTAAAGACGTTAGAAAGGCAGCAGCAGAAGAGTCCAGGAATGGTGTGTGATGCTTAAACACACCTGCCAAGGAAGTACCAGGACTGTCCGGAGTTGGGGTCAGCTTCCAGAGACTTCTGCAGACACTGGATGGCATAGCTGTCCCTGCTGGCTTTGTCCCCGAGCTGCTCCACCGTGTGATGCATCCAACCTGTGGACGAGTCAGACCCGTCAGACCTCCGAGCTCGGAACTCTCAGGGTGGCGGAAAACCTCCGGACCGGCCGGTCTTACCCAGCTGCTGCAGGGTCGTGGCCTTCACCTGTGCAGGGAGATCCTCCGTCTGCAGGAGGCTCTCGTAAGCCTCCTTGGAAGCGCGGTATCTCTTCTGCAAACGAGGTGCAAACGACTGAAACTCACCAACAGAACTTTAGTCTGATCATCCTTTTTAAAAATTGCTTCGCCTCACGTGAGAATTAAATAGGAAAAGAGGCGCCAAGCAGCACTGGCGTCCCCGCTGTAAAGCCTCATCATCAAAGGAAAGACGCCACCGGCATACAAAAGAGGGCAAGACAGACTTTGCTGTTTCCGTGGCAACCTCGATGATCAGCTAATCTTACACTCCCCTCCCCTCCCTCCCGCTCTGCCACCCACTCACTCATGCACCCCGATCCTTTCTCAAATCGCCCGATTCAAAAGCAAAACAGGGCCATCCCAGCATTCCCATGGCAGCTTTTATCCTTTATTTCCAACGCATTTGGGAGTTTTTCTCCTCGTGCGGCACAGGCAGAGGGAAAGCCCAACCCGTACCCTTGAGAACAAGGACGACAGAAAGCACACGGGAGGAGTAAATGAACCAGAACTTACCTGAATCTCATACAAATGAGCGATGTGGAACTGGACTGTAGAGGGACAAGAGGAGGAAAGCAGTTAGTTCACATTTCAGGAGCATTTCTCCATCAGACTTTAATTCCTCTTCTCTTCAGAAAGTAAAGCGGCAAAGAAAACCGAAGCATTCCAGTCGGAGGTGGAGAGAAACGACCCCGGATAAGTGTGATCCTGAAGGCACCTTCCTTTGTCTGGAGCGCTGCAGTGTCTGATCTAAGCTGCCTGAGTGACTCTCAGCAGATGGAGGGAGAGAGCGAGTGTGTGTGGGGGGGTGTCAGGGCTGCCCTTGATACTTGTCTGTGTGTGTGTGTGTGTGTGTGTGTGTGTGTGTGTGTGTGTGTGTGTGTGTGTGTGAGAGAGAGAGAAGGGGGGCCAGGAAAGAAGCAGTGGGGGGAGAACGATGAGGCAGAACGAGAGAGGATAGTGCCGTCGCCAAGGTAACAGGTGCTGAGGCGGGAGGGATGAGATGGCAGCAGCATTTTAAACAACATCTTGTCCTTTTGTTCATGGGTTCCACATCGCTCGTTTTAACAGACAACCATCACATCCTGAGTAGTTAGGTGCTTACTTTCAGCTTTGGACAAAGTGCAGGGGTTGGAGTCAATCAAAGCCAGCTGAAAATGCTACAAGACACAAAAAAAACCCAACATAAAATCAACAATAAGGTAGAAAAGACGGCTGTATTGACCATCAAGTCACTGCGTTTACCTTTAGGCTCGACTCGTAATCGGTGTTGACTTTGAACATGAGCCCCAGGCGAAGGTGGATCTCCTTGGCCCGGGAGAACCCTGGGTCGATGTACAGCACCTCCTGGAATGCTTTGATCGCCCTGTGGGAGAGAAATCAAGGAACTGGTGAAGAAAAAGACCAGGCAATATTCGGTCAGGTTTGGATTAATGCAGCTCTAATTAATGACAGCGTGTGGCGTAGGGTTGTCACGGTAACCGGTATAGCGGTAAACCCCGGTAAAAAAGTTGACAATAAAAATAACCGTCCAGTTTTTAATAAACTAAATTATCTCGGTGGGTTTACCGTGGCCGCGGTTTCGGCGCGGTGACCCTTACCAGCCACCGTCGCTTCAGCTGAAGTTCCCGCGGCGCGCACACGCACTTTTTAGTTTGCAACGGCACCAAAACTTTGAAGCTGAAATAATGGCCGAAGGAGGAGACGGCAGCGCCCAGGACATCCATCAGCCCTCAAAGAAGACTAAATCGGAAGTATGGGCATATTTTGGATTTCTGAAAATTGCTGAGGGACAGTTAATAGAAGACGGCTATCCCGTTTGCAGAACGTGCAGGAAACAAGTGTCTGCAAAAGGCAGCAACACTTGGAATCTAATGGCACATCTGCGTGACCATCACCCACGTCTCTACAGCCAGTGCAAGGTAAGTTAACATTAGCATTTTAGCTTAAATGCATGACGTGAGGACTTTTGGTTGAGGGAGAATGCAACGAGTCACTACATACTGCAGCCGCAGCGTCCTCTGCCAGCATTTAAACCGTGTCACGGACACCCTGTTGCTGGATGAAGCATCTTATTTGTTGATGATGAAGAGAAATATACAATTAGTTCCTTGTCATTGATTTGTTTACTTATTCAATGCCATTTATACTTGAACATTTGGATTTGATTACATAGTGTAGTAGTTATTTTAGTAATTTGTTTAAAGTGGCTATTTATTTTAAATACATATTTTTTAAGGTTGACTTGTACAGTGCTCAAGTCAGGTGTGGACTGGAGTTTTAGATTTTCATTTTGATAAGCGGCCGAAATGAGTTTCCTCCGTAGGGTGGCCGGGCTCAGCCTTAGAGATAGGGTGAGGAGCTCGGACATTCGGGAGGGACTCGGAGTAGAACCGCTGCTCCTCCGGATCGAAAGGAGCCAGTTGAGGTGGTTTGGGCATCTGGTCAGGATGCCTCCTGGACGCCTCCCTGGGGAGGTGTTTCGGGCATGTCCTGCCGGCAGAAGGCCCCCGGGTCGACCCAGGACACGTTGGAGAAGTTACATCTCCAATCTGGTCCGGGAACGCCTTGGGGTCCTGCCGGAGGAGCTGGTGGACAAGGCCGGGGAGAGGACGGCCTGGAGCTCCCTAGTTGGGATGCTGCCCCCGCGACCCGGACCCGGATAAGCGGAGGAAGACGAGACGAGACGAGACGAGACGAGATTTTGATAATGAAGAAAACAAGTATATGAGAAGACAAGTGGTGTTTCTTTGATTTGTTTACATATTGTTTATGTTTTGAATGTTTGGATTTGTATCATTTAAACCTGCACTGACTACTGTAACATGTTCCAGAAAAAGAAGCTATTTGTTCCTTTACTTGTGAAAAGTTGCACTTTTGTTAAGGCTTTGTGTTATTTTAGGTTTAATAAACATTGTTAAACCTTTTCAAAACTATTTCAGTTTGTGTAGAACAGGACTACCAATGCTTTCTGAACATATGCAACACCGTTTTAAAAATACCGCGATAATACCGAAAACCGTGATAATTTTGGTCACAATAACCGTGAGGTTACATTTTCATACCGTGACAACCCTAGTGTGGCGTGGCTCTTCAAAATAAAAGCTTCAAGTGAGCTCCAGGTGCCTAGACTGTTTACTAAAAACTATCTCGACACCCAGAGACCAGATTTAGCTTTTTCCTAGTGGACGATCTTTTTCTGGAGAATGTTTTGAACAAGCTACCGGTAAACGCAGACATCTTATACTAGAGTCTATTGCCGGTAACAGTTGAAGAATTTATCTCTAAAAGGAGAAAATTGACACGGCTGGGAGGAAATGCAACAACTTGGACAGTTTTCTTGATGAGGACATTTCCAGGGTTTCCCCTGGTGTTGAAAGTGTTATGGTGGTCAACGTGCATTTGGTTTGTTTTCCAATAATTGTTATTGTAACAACTATTAATATAGAGTTTTATTGATCCAGAGTGTAAAATGTGAACTTTTCAAATTGCTTCATAAGGCCCATCTTTTGTCGTTGTTTGTTTTGGGTCTTGTTTGTGGAGTTATAATTTTGTGTTTGTAAATCTATAAAGCCCCTTTTAGAGGACACACCATGCCAGCAAATCAGTGTAATACTGCAGCCACAGTGTGTCTTATGAACGCGCTGTGGCACCATGGCGATGCTTGGAGGCAATATTATCGCACACCGGACTTGTGAATGAACATTACGCTTGGTGCAACAGACGGAGGTGTCATGATGATGTGGGGAGTGGCTGCTGCGCTCCAGAAGGGAAATATCTTTAAAATGAAAGCAAACACAGGCTGTAAGTTCAGCGTTTGTAATCAGAATCAGCTGAGATGGCAAACTGGAGCAATGCAGCGCTCCTAGAGCTTTTCTCTGTGTTTTCTAAAATAGGCTTAAAAAGCAAGTCACCCCAAATCAACTTTTTTTTTTCCCGGTAGACTCTATAAATGTGAGTCTAATTGTGCTGCAGACACGTGTAGTCAATAGTTTTGCACTTTAGTGGATTTTAGTTCAAATTTTAATGTTCTGCCTAAAACTGTCAGTGTTGTGCCGTTGTCAGGTAAAAACTCTGCACTGCATTTGAATTGAAATCTGCCATCGCTATTGGCTAAGAGGTACTATAGAACATTAGCTGGTACCATATGATGTCACAATGTCGTACGGAGGCTCAGAGTTCCCTCTCTCCAGCCACTTGGGCCAGCTCCTCCGGGGGAATCCTAAGGCGTTCCCTGACCAGCCGTAAGACATAGTCTCTCCAGCATGTCCTGGGTCTTCCTTTAGGCCTTCTCCCAGTTGGACATGGTAACATACGGTCACTACCCAAAGCTCGTGACCATAGGTGAGGGTTGGAACGTAGATCTACCGGTAAATCGAGAGCTTTGCCTTCTGACTCAGCGCTCTCTCCACCACGACAGACGGTACAAAGCCCGCATCACTGCAGACGCAGCACCAAACCACCTATCGATCTCATGCTCAAGTTTTCCCTCACTCGTGAACAAGACCCAGAGACACTTAAACTCCTCCACTTGGGGCAGGACCTCATCCCTAACCTGGAGAAGGCATTCTACCCTTTTCCGAATCAAGACCATGGTCTCAGATTTAGAGGAGCTGATTCTCACCCCAGCTGCTTCACACTCGGCTGCGAACCGCTCCAATGAGAGCCGGAGATCACGTTCTGATGAAGCCAACAGGACCAGATGTGGTCTGATCCTGAGCTACAGAAGCTGGCTCTCGGTACAACTGTTTATTTATCATAAAGAAACTGACAGTTACAATGCAGGAGCCGTACGCAATTAGTTTTTTGCCACCTGTTTAACTACTCTGGAATTGATAAGGGAATTGGATCAATACAGAATCGACAATGCCATTGATATTGACGAAACGTATCAATTCCCACCCCTAGCTAGCAGGGTTTGGTGGTTTTTCACTGCTGTGATTTAAAGTTAGTAATTACCAAGAAAGCTAAAATATTGCCTAGTTTTCACCATAAAAACAACACTATATGAGGCAGCATACTAAATTGTTATACGGTTAAGTAGGTGTGTTACTTTAGGAATTACGGCAGAAAGGGTACCAACAATGGGTTGTTTGACATTATTCTTTGCATCCAATGTTGAAATGTTTTCTGCAACTACTGAATGGTAACTGGCCTCTATTTATATAGTAAAGTAAGTAGTAGTAGTGCCTACTTAGAACTCTGCAACCCCCAAGGGGCATCACAACTAAGGTTGCAGGGATTAACCGGATTGATTATTAACCCTGTTTACCCACTATAAACACGTTTCCAATGCCTCCTATGAAAAACAAAAAGACAATAGTGCGACCCGCACGGACAAAAACAAAAGTAAAACTGAGCATGCACGCAGCAGAAGCATTGGCAACAACCATCGGGACTGTTTTATTATCACCTAGGAAGCGGTTGAAGTGTCCCGTGTGGGAATATGTCTAATATATCTGAAATATTACAACACAGGAGACTTTAACAGCTGTAACGGTATGAAATGACTGTTTTACACCAAAAGTCATTTTCCCCCTCTCCTCTGATACAGGACTAGTCTGCATGAGATATGGCCTCAAGATCTCAAGCATTTGTTATAAACTGCTTCTTTCCAGCTCAACAGAAGAATGAAGAAAGGACTCTCTCCTTTTAATTAATCAAAGAACTCTATTTTAGTAAAGCTAATCAAACAAAGTGTTAGTCAATAATAAGATGTGACCAATCTGTGAAATCAAAATATTAATTACTTTATTATAATCCTATAGAATATAAGTAATATGACTTTAAATGTTTCCACTTGGACTGATCTCGCGCAGCATTAAAATACATGACACATGGCTTTACCGATCCAATCAGAATCTGCCAGAGGCGTGGTTTTGGTGGTGTTTGGTAAATCTGTTATCTTTTCATTCGACCATAAACCAAAACATCCGAAGTATAAATCTATGCCCACGTCATCTTTAACGCAGTTCAAAGAAATTCTAGAGAAGAAGAAGAAAATATCATTTCTATAGCGCCTCTCAAGATAAAAATCATGAGGCGCTTCAAAAAACAAAAACAAAAAATAAAAAAAAGTACAATTATAAAAAAGCATTTAGAAAATGTTTAAAATATATTTAAAATGAGCAAAAATAAGCAATTGCGATTTAAAAGAAAAAATGCTAAGAAAGAGAGAGAGTGAATAGGAAAGAGGGAAATCAGTGGATCCTGAGGAAGGTGGAATAGGTGGGGAGAGCAGAATAAAGAGAGAGTGGTGAAGAAGGTCATACAAAAGCCAGCTTGAACAAGTGAGTCTTCAGCTGCTTTTTGAAGGAGACCACTGAGTCCACTGATCAGTCGGAGTGTCATCAATCAGAAGTGTCG